ATGACGTTTAATTATATCTTTTATTGTTTCCGGATTTTTGACAACTAAATAACACCAATCGACATATTAAACTTTTAAAACATCAGTTAGATATTTAGCATTCATTGGAGAATAATATATATCATTATCTATGCAAATCCAAATTTTGGGAATACTAGGGGATATCCCGGGCTAAGTCCGGATATGTTGTTTATAAATTGTTTGAAATTTTGGTCTGAATAAAAATGTCATGTAGTTTTGTAATATTGTGGATCCGAAATAAATTTATATATTTATCAAATATGAAATAGATAAACGATAAGTTGCAATAGATTTTGATTTTCCAAATACATAGTCTATACATATTGGAAAATATTAAAGCCGTCAAGAATTATGCATTAGCCATGGAAAGAAACACAAAGAAAAATTGTCATTCTAATGAAAACATAATGAAATATATTTAATCGTGAAACTTTTGAATGTATGCTATGATAATAAAACCAGCATTCATGAATGTTTCTTTCTACTTAGAGCTCATGAAACAGTATATAAATCCTTATTGCACTTCGTTGGAATGCTTGATTTTCTCCTCGTTCCCATCCTTAAATACAATGCAAACGAAACGATAGTGATAGCAGTGGAGGGGTTAGAATGTAGATTGTATTGATTTTGTATCTAAAATTGTACAAAGAATCATGAATTGCACATAATTGTTTTACCTTAAGAAATTAGCATCTTTAGTTGGGATGTTTGTTACCAAGTTGGAGACTAAAGCATCTGAGTCGTACTACTTTTCTTTCTTAATGTTATTAATCATCGCCTATAGTCCTTAACATTGAAACGAATATATCAGCCTCAAACATGCGATGTAGTGTACATGATCGACGGCTCAAAAATTAATGTAGCAATAGAGATAAATTTAATTGAATCCCATTTGTGATTATAAGTATGACGTAGTGTGTCGTTTCTTGTAACACAGATTTATTTTCAAGTGGGCCAAAAGACATTCTGACATGCATGCTCTCTCATAAGAAGACAATGGATGAGTGAAAGACATTGATTGAAGAAGAGAAATACATGAATATATAAGTTACAAATCACCTAACAATTACTATTATTGTTTTGATCAGCAATACTTTCTTTTATACCACAATCTCTGAGTTGCTACTCTCCGGCACCTTGATTTAATATTTCATCGATTTTTCAGGAATGAAAATAAAGAAATGTAGAAAATGGTATGATAAGTACTCACCTCAGATACCTACAACTCCAGGTTCTCTAAATTATACTAAAGAGTATGGTGCCTATCATCACAATGCACTCAAACATTATCGTTATTTTCCGTACTTCAGAGTACCTAACTAACTCCATGAGTCACCCTGTGAATGGACCATTATAAACCAAAGGGAACTCAATTAAAGGTCTAAGAGTAACTTTACAACACCAAATAAAAGCTACAAGAAATTGGATTTTCCATCAGAAATTCATTGCGATCACATTTCGAGAACTAAAATTCCAAAGTTGTTAAGTTAAATAATTCTGTTATAAAATTGCGATCACATTGCGATCATAGCTTCAACAACTATGAACCAAAAAATCTGAAAACATGGCAGGAGAAATTCAGCAGGTCCTAATATTGAGTAACAATCTAAACGAAACCGGTTTTCCATCTTTATAATTTATGAGGATATGAGAATACATGCTTGGTGTTGTCCGAGGGAAAAAAAGGAGAGTACATGCTTTGAAAAGAAGAAACGTACCTTTTTGGTTCCTCTTTGAATGTCAATATTTTCAACACTCAGATGCATAAGGTTGAACTGGAAAACCATCTTCAATTTAGTCTCTTTGATTTTCATAGAATCCCAACACCAATGTTTCAAAGCATCTGCATAGAATCATAACATATGAGCAGGCAAACATGAAAATCCAGTGTAGCTTTTAATTGGTTAAAAACTTCCAAACTTCCCATCATCACATTATAATTGGCTAGCTATCAAACGAAATACAAATCAGAGTTGGAGATATCATATTCCCATCTTTAGAACAAATCAAAGCTTGCTTAAACGTTAATTGCTAATCCATCTGACGTGGCATCACTATAGAGCAAGTTTTTTACTTTTGTGGATGGCTTAAGGAGCCTCAAACAGCTCCTATTAGTTAGTATAATAATAATAATTCGATAGCAGATCAAACCAATCTTAACTGTTTAAGGCTTTAAGCACCATATTTACGGCAAGAACCAAAAGGGGGAAAAAGACCAAATTTCATTTAGAGGATTAGAAAAAAGTGAACCTTGTATTCAGAGTTTAGAACGATATTTACTGGAGCGAGAGCTGCAAATCCACTTCGTCGGTAGGACCTCCTTGAGTTTTCTAGAACCCTATATCGTCTCACGCAAAGCACCACCAACTCGAGCAAGATCTTTCTCTTTGTTTCCTGCATGTGTTACATTCATCCACATCATCGCTCGATCCTCTGTCTCTTCCATATTCAGAGTGTGATTTCCTGTTCAAATTGTCAATAACACCCACAGGATTGAGCTTCTCATACCTTATGGAAATTCACTCTTCTCCACTACTTCTATAAGAACTTCCTTTCGACACCGTCTTAATACACCATATCCTAGAGTATAATTTGTCACCTATTATTCCTGCACTTGTTAAAAGTTTTGAATTACAAAATCAGGAAATTAGAATACTGAAAGAGCTAACTCGTTATAATAAGAAGCCAACGTACACATAGAGACGACTCTGAGCATAAAACACAAACTATTCAGCTAAAAATTAGCCGGCTATCACAGATTTGTCATCGTCCACCCACTTTACTTTTAATAATATCTTCAGTTAGGAAGCTTCTTCTACAGTCAAAGCTCGAGGAGACAAAAAAAAGAGAGAATAACAAACAGTAATGTAATCTATATATTTTGCCTACGGAAAGAGATGACACAGTTTTTGTGGAAAAAATTATACCCTGCAATCTGAAGAGAAACTATATCACCATAGGACGTTTTGTAAATACAACCATAACACAGAATCTTTGGAAAGTATGAGAAAAAGTAGAGAAATTAGGGAGCTTCCATTTTGTGGCTAGAGAAGTACTCACTTAGGGAAAAGATGAAGCCCAATATCGATGAACAGATGTAACTGTTGCGCCCATAGAAGGTCTTCTTTTTAGCTTATCAAGCTCTGGTCTCGCAACACTATCCAATCCTGTGCAAAGAATTTACATGAATGAATGAATGCAGTAAAGGTATTATATCTG